TTAGAAAAATGTCCAGGCTTAATTGAAAAAGCACACAGCAATCAACTTTTACTCCTAACTAACATGAAACTGTCTAACTGGTGGCCAAATTTGGGATGCCTGAAGACAGACAAGTGACTAATACGAGGCTGTGTGTGGCCAGGACCAAATGTATTTTCTGACCACAAGACCATGTCTAGAGTCTCCTTTGTAATTACCACACAGCCTACTGTAATTGTAAAACTGATATTTACTTCCTGCCTTTGACATGTAATTCAGGGGCCAACGCTGCACCCCAAGCTAGAGTGAAATCCCCTGTTATTTGCCTAAAACCTGTAAAATCATTGTTGTGTGAGGGTGTGTGTGTTTGTGTTGCCACATCTGTTAACTATGTTAAGTATATCCTTATGAAAAATATGCCCACTCCTGCCTTGTTGGATAAAGCCCTTTACTAAGTCAGATGTTTACCGAACACGTCTTACTATATGCCCCGGAAATTTCAGACTCTGGGAATCATCAGTGAACAAGACAGCAAAGACCCGGGAAGAGAACAAGGGAGGGGAGGAGGAGAGGGAAGGAGACAGACAAGAAAATAACTCTCCGATGAGTGCTATGCGGAGAGTCACGAAGGAATGTGATAGGAAATGCCTAGGTGGCTTCTTTAGTTGGGCATCAGAGAGGCCTCCCCAGAGATGGCAGTGACTTGAGCATGGTGAGTGAGGGAGATGGTCAGAGAGGCGCCTGTGTGGGCCACCATGAAGAGTGCCCGTGGCTTCCGGCTGGGAGGCTGCTGCACAGGCCGGGCAGGAGGCCACACTCAGCAGTGTGTCCTGAGATGGACTGGAGATCAAGAGGAGGATCTAGATTCAGATTGAAATGTAGCTTAGAACCTGTCAACAGAACTCGCCCGTGGTTTGGGCGAGAGGAATGGAGGAGAAGGAATAATGAGGAATGATTCCGAAGGTCTGGGCTTGAGCAACGAGGAGGATGACAACCGGATAAGAAAGGCTGAAGGCAAAGTTGTTTAGCTCTTCATTAATAGTTGTAACTGACTGACCAAGAACCCACATCTTGGGGTCCGATACATGCCCACACTCCCCCGCCCCAGACTTCTGGAGTCCTTAACCGTTCACACTGCTTCAAGCTTTTCCATGGTCTCTCCTTCTTGGTTCTCATTGTGTGACGTCAGATAAATGACATTCAAGTTACCGGCTCCCTCACAGGCGCTCTGTGAACCCCAGCCCCTGCCAGGCCCCCTCCTCGGCAGCTCTGGGTGCCTGGGCCCACGCGGGGTGGAGGGCGGGCCTCTGGCACACGTCCCGACATGCCTCAGGTGTGTACATGGCAGACAGTAGGATTGATTTTCCTGTTTTTCTCTTTATCATCAGAAACATGTGGAGATCTCTTTAATGACAATCAAACTAATCCAACCCACTTATTTCTTCATTAGAATCCTGATATTTTCTACTTTTGCCTTAAAACTATTGTGGGGGGGGGCTAAGTTTTCTTGTCTTTACAGTGGGAATAACAATAAAGTTGGTTTTCATGGGTATTTTGTGAGGATTAAATGAAATCGTGTAAATAACGTGCTTGGCACAGTGGCTGCTATGTAGCATTCAGTGAACTCGAGCCATTAGTGTTAATAAAATACAACTTGGGGGCGGGAGGGGGCCCCCCAGAGCCAACACCCTGGTTTTAGTATTCAGATTAACCAGGCCGAGAGCGTGGAGCATACGACGGCTGACTCCTGCATGACTGGATCTGCGCTTTTCCCTCCAGTTTCCTTTCACCAGGCTTCTCAAACAGTGTTGTCTTTGGGGCAGCGACATTCACGCAGTGGCATTTATTGGCACATGCTACCTTTCGCTAGCACCCAGCATCCCCCGCTAACGTCGCTCTGTCAACACAGCTTCCGGGCGGGGCTCCGCCTGGAGACAAGCGCAGCTGTGGAGCCCTGTCCCGAGCCCGTCTGTGGGCTCTTGCTCGCCCTTGGGTCCTTCCCGGGCGGCGGTGTCAGACCTGCTTCCCTGGCGCTGCTGGCGACAGCCGCCTGCAGTGCCAGCCCCCGCCCCCGCCGGCCCGCGGGGTCGCAGTGCATTCGACTTGTGCTTTCTTGCTTCCTCTGCCTTTAAATGTTTTCAATCAACCGTGGAAAACAAACCCAGTCTCGCACGCTGGCTGAACTCTGTCATTCATCCGACAGACGGTCCGGTGAGTCCCGCCGTGTAACAAGCGTCAGAGACTTGGCCGCTTGGGCACAGCCCTGTGAGAGCTGACGCACAGGCGCCCTTGCTTTGACTGAGACACACTCAGAAGTGGGCGACCTTGGGAAGTCGAGCAGGGGCACCTGCTGTTCTGCCCGTTGACTCTTCCTCCTTGCCTGGCCCCTTCCTGAGCCATGGTGAGGGCGCGCTGGGGGGTGAAGCCTCTCTGAAGAGTCTGACCCTGGTGCGTGAGCCCCAAAGGCAGGTCCTGGGCAGCACAGACCCTTCCCAGGCCCCAGGCCGGTTATCCCAGGGCCCCCACCGCGCATCCTGACAAACGTACGGAAACGTGGACCCTCCACATTAAGCATCATTTATTACTGATGGAATTTTTTGAAAATATTTTTCCAGGATTTAAAAAAAAATATTTTTTTAATTTTTTTTTCTTTATTATTTGAGAGAGAGAGGGAGAAAGAGATAGAAACATCGATGAGAGAGAACATGGACTGGCCGCCTCCTGCATGCCCCCCATTGGGGATCAGGCCCACAACCTGGGCGTGTGCCCTGACCAGGAATCGAACCGGCGACCTCTTGGTGCATGGGTCGACGCTCAGCCACTGAGCCACACCGGCCGGGCTATTTTTACAGTTTTGCTTTGGAGATAGGTTGGCTACAAATAACTGGTTTAACTTATAATTGGCTATCTATTTATCAGCAATTATCCTAACATACTTGGGAATTACCAAGTTAAAAACCTAAACGCAGCCTCCACATTGCTTCCTGATGAAAGGTGTTTGATGGCCAGGTCAACAGTTAACAAAGTTAACCTAACATTACATTTGGTTGACCTTTAACATTTGTGAATTCAGTTTTGTCGTTGTCCTGTTTGAAGCCAATTAATGGTTTTCCAGGCTGCAGACATCTTTCTAGGCCCTTGAAAAGCTGGGAGGCTCAGGTGCCGAGCCGAAAGGGCCGGGGGTTACAGTGCCCGGCCTGGGAGGCCTGGGCTCCGGGCCGTCTCTGCCTCGGCACCGTGAGAGCTGCTCGGAGGGACATTGCTCTCGGAAAGACAGCGCCCTGGCTGCCGCTGCTGCTGGCTGATTGAACACGCGGAACCTCTACAAAAATCAGTCGCTGGGGGCAGAATCCCTGCGTGACCTTGGACAAATGCTCTGTGGCCCTTTTCCTGCCCCCAGTTGTACTTGTGTAGATAGATCTCCAGCTGGCTAAGGGGGAAGGCCAGGGTCACCAGTCCTAGGACCCCAATGATGCACAGAACCATCTGAACCCGAGACACGGTTTCTCTCACATTAAAAGCAAAGCAGTTTTCAGTGACCATATTATTTTGCCAAAATGAAAGAAGGAAGAGAAGAAAGACGAGTAAGGAAGGGAAGTGGGGGAGGGAGGAAGGAGGAAGATTGCACCATCAGCAGCTGAAAGCCATTGATCTTTGGTGTCTGTGCAAAACGATGCCGGCCTTTCCCAGAAAGGAGAGCTTTCCTGTGACCCTCACTCTCGTTACCCCATCAGACGTCACCTGCCGCCCGCTTCCCCGCAGTGGGGCCAAGGGTGATGGAATGACGAGAGTATAGGCTTCGGAATCAAAGACGCTACTAGATTCAAGCTGTCCTGCCAGTCACTCTCAGTGGTTCTCAAAGTGTGAGCCAGGAACCCCTAGGGTTCCCTGAGAGCCTTTCAGGGTACCCATGAGGTCAAACCATCTTCATAATAACACTAAAGCTGTGATTTGACTTTTCCTCACTCTTACTTTTTCATAAGTGACTTCTTCCAGACATGACATGATATCGCAGCAGATTGGATGCATACACAGATGGCGGACTCCATCTTCTATTAAGCCAAACACTAAAGATACTCTCAGAAATATAAAACATTGCCCCTCTTATCACGAACTTATTTTTGTTCTGGAAAATATTACTGCTTTTAATCTTTTTAATGACATTTATGTTAACATGTAATGGAGTTATTTTTAAGTGGATTCATACATTTTGAAAACTCCTCAGTCTTAATGTCTAACATGGTAATATTGATAGCTATAGCCCACATTTAAAAAGTGCTTTGGCCCTGGCCGGTTTGGCTCAGCGATTAGAGCCTAGGCCCTCAGAACGAAGGGTCGTGGGTTTGATTCCTGGTCACGGGCATGTACCTGGGTTGCAGCTTTGATCCCCAGCCCCAGTCAGGGTTGTATGGGAGGCAGCCAATTGATGTTCTTTTTCTCTCTCCCCCACACTCCCCCCCCACTCTATCTAAAAAGTAATGGAAAAATATCCTCAGGTGAGGATTAAAAAAATAAATAAAAGGTGCTTTGGAGTCCTCAATAATATATAACAGAATCAAAAGGTTGTTAGATCAAAATGTTAGAGAACCCCCACACTGCCTAACAGTCCTTACTGTTTATTGAATGTTTTCCTCGTGCTTGGAGCTGTGCAAAGCACATGACCTTCTTCATCTCTTCTTCTTATTGCAACAAAGCTGTAAAGTAGAGCTTTAAAAAGAGACCTTGCCGGCCCAAGGTCTCAGCTGGAAGTGAGAGGTAACCAGGTCCTTCTGACACCAAAGCCACCCTCTCGATCACCGGACGGGACTCCTTCACAGAGTAGTCTCCTCTAACTTGGAAAAAGTGATTTCGCTGTGCTCTGAGGCGGGATTCTTTCAAGAGCAGAAGGGCTAATGCACAGCCAAGTGCCTAGCACAGGGGCTAGCGCCAGCTCGCCCCAGCAGCTGTTCCCTCCTTCCTTCCGTGCCCCCTGCCCTTGGAGTCAGCCCAGGAGGCTCAGCCACTCCCCTCTTTCCCTCTAGATGGTCTTCAGGCAGACAGAGAGGCTGATGGCACAGAAGGACTTGACGAAGACATGATTGTGACCCAGAGTCAAACCAACTTCATCTGCCCCATTACACAGGTACTGCCGCCCCTCCCCTGAAAGGGAAAACAATTCGCTCCAGGAGGCAAAGGGGCCTGTTCGCTTTCTGATTGATTTCATGTCCGGGTTAAGGAGGCGGGAAGGAGAAGTGATGAGGGTCAAAGGGTAAAAACGTGGGAGGTCTTTGGGCTGGAAGAGGATTCCATCAATTATGCCCATTTAGGAATAAATCCCTGGCCCGCAGCCAAGTGGCAGTGCTATCCGTGGTCTCCCTGCTGTTTCTTCTGTCCTAATAGTATTCAAAGCCCTGAGCGTGGGAGGTTAAACAGAGAAAGCCCACACTAGGAAAAAACAGCACCGAGTCATTGGTGACTTGGAGAAGTTACTGGAAGTTGACCATTGGCATTCCTGAAAGCCTAATGTTTCCTTGATTGCAGTTGGAAATGAAGAAGCCAGTGAAAAATAAAGTGTGTGGCCACACCTACGAAGAGGAAGCCATTGTTCGAATGATTGAGTCCAAGCACAGACGGAAGAAAAAGGCCTGGTGAGTTGGTCCAGGACGGGAAACGGAGCCTTCCTAGGGCGAGGCAGACAGAGGTGTGTGTCCCTGTGAGAGGAAAAGGCCCTTCAGCGTCTCCCCTAAAGTGCATGCACCTCCCAAATAGTGTAAACAGCTTTCTGGAAAAACAGTACATGAGGGAAAAGTTAATCTCCTCGGGGAGAAGCCGAAGGAATTTCAACCACACCTTTTTAAAGTAGGAGGGAAAGGAATTGTATTGAATTGTCATCATTAGATAACAGGAATCTTTATGAATTTGTGCTATAGCCTGAAAAGAAATTAAAGGAGAACTGTTATTCTAGGAGAAAGATGGAAAATCTTCCCTATCTTCAGTTACGTCAGTAACTTTCCCAAAGGTTTAAGTAAATTCATGGTTAATTGATCAATGAGAAATTGTTATTTTTTTTCAATTTGGAATGTTAGCAGAATCTTTTATGTGGCTATTTCTACCCCCTTCTCAAATGCACCCCACCCTACCCCCCCACCCCATGACCGAGGAGGACATGGTTGTGTTCCTGTAATGACACAGAGCCCTGAGCTGGCTGGACTGACTTTTCTAGGTATTATGCTCTTATCACAGATGTGGAATTATCACAAGGAATGGAAAGGCAGGTGTGACCAGCTCTCAGCGGACTGATAACGGTCCTTTGATGTGTGCTTTGCTTTTCCATGGCCCAGAAATTGCTGGTCCAGACCTGGAATTGGAATTCCCTGCCACTCCTCATCGGGCGTGGACCCAGATAGGGTATTTAAGACTACATATATCTTGATGGTCATTCAGTCAAGTAATTTACCCTGTTTATTCTAGAAGAACAGCCTACTGGCTACAAAATGGAGACACTTTGAGCATATTATTCTTAAATATGTCTTTATTGATTTTTTTTTGGAGGGAGAGAGAGAAACATCAGTGTGAGAGAGAAACATTGATCAGCTGCCTCCTACACGCCCCCTACTGGGGATCAAACCCCAAACCTGGGCAGGTACCTTGACCCAGAATCAAACCAGTGACCTCTCAGTGCATGGGAGGACGCTCAACCACTGAGCCACACCTGCCGGGCTTGAGTACACTCTTCCCTGTTTCGAGTTCCCAGCTTACCGTTGCAATGTCCCATTTTCCTAATGAACTCCCATTTCACCTCGGGAATATCATTTTCTGTGTCCCTGAACTTTTCTGCCTTTCTTTTCTACTAACTTCTTTCTCTCAAAAGCAAAATGTTAATTTTTGTTAACGTAACTGCTAAGAATAGGAGCTCACAGAGAGTTCTGTTGCACAGCTCTTCTTCAAGTGTGTGACGTTCTCCTGGAGTCAGATTTGCAAAGGGGCCACCGATACAAAGCCTGTTTCTCAGTCCCGGGGGGGGGGCACTCCCACAACTCTCAGAGCAGGCTTCACATCGTGTGGATCTTCTTCACTGCACGCTTGGACTTTCTCGTGTCCTTGGTCTTTTTTGAACTGTGCATGATATTTGGAAGCACTTGTTAACTCTTGACATTAGGGGGAAAAAATTTTCTTACCCTTCTATAACTTGGTTTCAGATTTTTTTGAAAACCCTTCAGATTCTCAAAGCTTAATAATAACAATTAAGTCCAAGTGGGAAGATCTGGGAGATGTACAGAGAAGGTAATATTTTTCCTGGGCCTTGGAAAATGAGAAAGATTTCAGAGAATGGTACAGAAGAATCTTTTTTGCCAAGATGCTCACCTACGCAGAGCCTGATCACTTGGTGGATAGTGGGTATGGTTCCGGGGTTGTATGTTGGAGGGAGACAAGAAGGATGATGGACAATATCAATAGGGGAGTGGTGGAAAGGTTCATTATCGAGGGTGTTACATGTCATGATGTTGTTAGTTTTCTCACCTATAAATTGATACAAATGATTATAATTGCCTCGTTGCTGTGTTGGCAATTTGAATAAGATAGACATAAAGTGTTTAAAATACCTGGCACATGGTAAGACTCAGTGCACATTGTCCCACCTTCGTCATTGTCATCATTTTTACCACCATCATGCTGTAGGCACGAGAGTACATTATTGTGAGGGAGTCCGGTGGACCAGCCTGGAGCTCAGGAGTTACTCCTGTAGCAGTTCACAGGATGGATTCAGAAAGCACGAGGAGCAGTGTCCGCTAAGATGCTTGTGCAGTGTGTTGAGTTACGTATAACGGGAGCTTGGACTGAGGCAGGAGTCAGGGATGAGAAGGGAATGAAGATGAGAGTGATTGAGGAGAAACTGTCAGACTTTGGTAGCTGGACGTTGAAGAGAAGAAGAGAAGGAGGACTGACGTCTACAAACGGGTGTCTGGAAGGATGGAGTGTTGTTAGCCAACAGAGAGGGCGAGGGAGGAACACACCTAGGCCATCTTAAGTTGGAGGTCGCCGCAAGACAGCCTGGAGGTGCATGAGAGAGAGCTCTGAGCTCGAGGTGCTGCGTGTGAGGTTCTCTGCACTTATCTGCCGGCACAGACGCAGCTCTGGACCAGATGTGACCATCACCTGAGAGCCAGCAAGGACAGGGCCTGGGCTCGGCTCTGTCTGCTCCCCATGCTGCCCTCGGCACCTGACCCGGGGCCCGAGGTGGACCCTCGTTGACGAATGGGCAGTCGGGAGGAAGACCCAGTGACGGACGTGGTCTAAGACATCGGCAGGAAAGAGGACGAGAGACTAGAGCCGAGCATCATGGGAGCCGTGGGGGGCCTGGGCGGAGTCTGGAAGACAAGGGGCACTTGGCAGCAGGTTGGGATTCAGGGCCTCTGCGCACCCTGTCTGAGGTTCCCATGGAGCCCAGGCTGGGACGTTTCCGTGACGCACGGCGCGTGAGGAGCAGCTCTGGCTCCCTGTGTGACAGTGTCTGCCACATGCCATTTGAGAAGTCTCCGTGCCCCCTCCTGGATTGTCCTCTGTGTTCGTCAGACTGCAGTTCCAGGTACTCCGGCTTCTGGGGCTGACCACCTTCCACGGTCCCTGTGTCAGTCTCTGGCGAGACCTCTCTCCCCTGGTTGGAGCCAGAATAAAACTGGTGAGACTTTGGCCCTAACTAAATACAGTAGTTAGAATGATTTCCTGAAATACCTCTCTTAATAGTCAGGCTATTTTTTATCTTACCAATAAAGCTGTCTTATGATTTTTATATTAATAAGGTATTAATATATTAAAACTGGTGTTTCCAGTTTTCCACCGTCGTTTCTTTCCCTCTTGGGTGAGAGCCTGGCTGTGTTCAGTGAAGTCGCCTGGAAGAGCCTGCAGAGGGAAGTTGAGCAGGATGAGTCGCTGAGGAGCAGAACCCAGCACGGCCCGTGCGGCCCGTTTTAGGCTGTACCCGCGCAGTCTCCTCCCCTCAGGTGTGAGCGGGCAATAACAGCATCTCGTGGAATTCAGGATTAAAGGAACGGTGGGGCATTCCAGCCTCGCTCGGACCGGCAGACTTCCTGGCAGTGGAGAGCGAACCAGTCAGGAGGAAGCTCTTTGTGGACAACAGAGCTTAAATAAGTAGCAGCCTGGTCATTGGGCTCAGCCCGTTAGCTCTGCTATCACTACCTCGCTCCTTAGTGACACCTTTTAGACTCAGAGGACGCAGGGTACAGTCACTGTCTGTGTTTAGGTCTGATAGGAATCCATCCACTCAGATTTCCTAAGGGGTCTGTAGACCTTTCTAGAACTTTCTAGAGCTGGGTTGAACCTTATAGACTTCTTGGGACCCAGATGCAGGAGCTCAGAAGACTCACCGTCTTGTACTTCTGAGCTGATGCTGAGGCCAAGGTTTCCCACAGCCTCCTGGACCCCTAAGACCTGGTTCCCTCTGTCCCACGGACACTCCCATGCTTCGCCGCTGCTGCGATGGGGTGCCCCGCCCCGGCAGTGACCTGAGCCCAGCACCCAGCCTCTCCTTCGAGGCCTGCAGTCTGACTCCTGCAGGGCAGTGACGAGAGCTGGGAGCCTGAGATCAGGGGCGGCCACGCCCAGCTTGCTCACCAGATGCTGTGGGGATTAACGCGATGGCGCCTTTCCCTCCAGGGGGGTGCCGATTCAGTGTCATGGCCCTGTGGCCGCATCTTGGCCTTTGTAACTTAAAACTTGTGTTTGTTTACTTGAAATGGGGTGAGAAGCCAGGTTCTCCCCAGCTCCTACATCATCCCCTCCTCCAGGAAGCCTTCCCTGAACCCTCATTCTTGCTGGACAGAGTGCCCCTCCCCCAGGCCCCGTGGCACCATGTCCACAGGGCCCCAGCGTTGTCCTGGGGCTGGCTCTTCTCCACACACGTTGGGTGCAGAGCCACGGACCAGAGCAGGATTCGGGTGTTGTAGCACCTGAGTGAGTGCCTTGACCCTCGTCACATGTCATCCTACCTACTTCTCACAAAACCCTTCGCCCTGCCTTCATCTTTCCAGAGGAAGAAACTGAGGCACAGGAATTAAGTCACTTGCCCAGAGTGTCACAGCCAGGAGGCGTGAGCCCAGGTCTCTTCACTCTGGAGCCTGAGTTTGTGTCAACAGGTCTCTGGCTCCCCTTGGGAGGGCTTTTGGTTAATGCTTCTGTCGCCAGAGTGTATCCCGTAAGTGGGCTGAGACGTCTTTGTTTGACTCCAACCCCCTCGACGAATGTGCCCGGCCGCTCTGCTCTGCAGCTGTGTGTGGTTAATCCCTGCAGACGTGCTCAGAATGCTCTCATTTACCAACTGAAACCGCTGACGTCATCAGGAAGTCTCCCCACCTCACTCTCCACTTCCCTGTCCACCGCTTATTCACTGTCTGGCCACGGTGTCCAGCCTTCGTTCTGCGGAGGGACAGGCCACGGCCCGGCCCGCAGGCAGGGTGGCCGCTCGGCGGGCTGAGACGTAGTGAGTGAGGCTCGGCCCACCCAGATCATCCCGACCACCTTCCCGCGGCATTACCCTGTCACAGGAGCCGGAGTGGTGGAAAGTACCTTTTCCGAAGTCAGGAACGTGTCCATACCCTCTTCACATTCGCAGCATTTACTCTCCTCGAAGAAATCGTTCACTCAGTGGACCGGAGTTTGAACTGGTGGAAGACCTCGCTTGGGCACTCCCGTCCTTCCAGCCCAAACCACGTCAGGATGAGGCCTTCCTGGCCCTCAGCACCCTGATGCTCTTTCCTACGGGCGCCTCTGGAATCACAGTTAACACATGTGCCTGACCGTCTGGGGCACAGCTCAGTGTTTCAAAAACACATACTGCTAACAAGCATGTAGTTCATTACAGTGACTGGTGCCCGCTGCTCCAAAGTCGCCTTGACCCGGCGATCAAGGCCGGAGTCTCTCCCGCAGGTTGGACTGTGGGCTTCCTGCTGGTGGACAGATGAGAGCCCCCAGGGTCAGCCGTCTTCCCCTCTGGGTTATGTCTTTTGTCTCATATGTGCTATTTTTGCTCTTACTCTGCCTGTGCTGTTTGAAAGGTTGTCTCAGATCAATAGACCGGAGCTGCATGTGAGCAGGAACCTATATTTGCATTTCACTCTTGGGTGCGCAGGACCTAGCACAGGACCAGTCGCAGCGAAGGACCGGAGAGCGCGTGGAAGTGTGCATTCATGTGCTGGGTGTGTGGAGGCGCAGAGATCATCAGCTCTCACCTGTGCTAGGAGAATGGTGGTGAAGGAACAAACGATAGAGGATATCAGGAAGGGACCAGTGATACTGAGCGGGGCGTTGCCTGCAGCCCCGCAAAATAGGGATTCTCCCCCCATTTTAAACCAAGGCAACAGAGGCTCAGAAAGGCAAAGTGAGTAGGCGCTGGAGACAGAACTCAGACCTCGGTCAGCTTGACTCCAAACATTGGGCGCTTTACAAAGTCTGGCTCATGTTGAGAAGAAGTCAGGTGACCCTCCAACCCACGCCTGCGGAGGAGACCACATCTAAACAGAGCCCTGGGTGTAGCTCCCCCATGGGGATGAGTCACACGCAGACTTCGGCCACAGCCGAAGCCCCCAGTGGCCCTTGGTCTCTCCCCTGGGAGTGCTGGTGAGCATCTCAGAGGGAACACACACCCGTGGGGACTCCTGAGTCCTTCCCAGCCTGGTTTTCAGTTGTGCCCTCGGAGATGAGGGTGCCACCCATCGCCCGCCAGCTCCGGCCAAACTCGGGTGTAACTCTTCTCCTTTCGCTTTGACCCATCGAGCAGCCCCAGAGGGTCTACTTTCCCTTCTGTCCTGACGCTCCTGCTCCCACCCTCAGCCAGGCCGCCCGCCCGCCCGCTCCGGGGCTGCTTCAGGGCCCCTGCCGCCCCTGCGTCCCCTCGGCAGCCAGGCCGTGTTTCCTAAATGCCACCCGGGTCCCAGCCCTCCCTCGTTCGGACCCTGCACTGTTTGTCTTCATATTCAAATCAAAACAAAGTCCACTCAGCCCCCGGCCTCGTCCTCTCCGAGCGCCCTCCCTCTTGCTAACCTTGCTCTTTCTCCGGCCACCAAGCTGCTGCCTCCTGGGCCGCACTCGGCCCCTGTTCTAGAGAAGTCCTCGCGAGGCCTGACCTCTGCAGGGCAGCCTCGGCCGCCCTCTCTCTGCCTTAACCGAACTTCCCGTCCGCCTTAGGTGCTGGCTTAGTGACCTGTGTCCCCCGGGACGCGAGTGCGGGGTAGTGGGCACGGCCCGTGCCCCCAGCCTGGGGTGGGGCCTGGCGAGGCGGGCATCCATGCAGACGTGAATGAGTGCGAACCACGCCTGATGTTGAAACAGGCCTCTTTTTGGTAAAATGTCCTCATTTAAGTGCTTGTGTGGGAGAGAAGTTTATGCAGAAGGTATTCAAGTCGAGTGGCCTGACGTCATTTTCTAACCCTTCCCAGTTGCCCTAAAATTGGCTGCAGCCACACGGATGTGAGAATGTGTGACCTCATCCAGGACGAAGCACTCAGAAGGGCGATCGAGAGCCACAACAAGAAGAGACAGCGCCAGTCCGAGTAGGAAAGCCACCTGCCCAGGGAGTCCGCAGCCTACCTCCTGCCCCAGCCACCTGTGAGGCATGCTCGTCCGGCACTGGGACTGCAGCTACGCTTTCGGGGTGAAACTTGAAGGTTTTAAGTGTAACTGAAAGCATTTTCTATGTTACAATAACAAGTCATGGGAATTATATTGTTTATTTTTAAGTATTTTATAATTTAAATAAAACTTTGATTATCTACAGTGTGTCCTGTCTGTGCACTGCCCGAGGTGCAAGCTGTTCTGATGGTGCAGGCGGGGGGGGGGGGGGCGGGGGGCAGGCCTTTCTCTCTCCTACTTCAGACTTTTTATTGTAGTGTTAACGAAACCATGTCTTGCACAGGATATTTGACGTGGAAGCACCCCAGTTGCAAGCACTTTCCATCAGTACACTAAGCAGTAGCGCGAGGTGACCAAGCAAAGCCAGCACTGACCAGCCAAGACTGACTTTGTAGGTTGGCAGGTGCAAATATGGAAATCTTTTCTTTGCACTCGGGCCGCAGGGGACGCGGGCTGCCCCGCAGCAGGCTCGTCAGTGCACCGTGGTAGCTGTCGCCCCCATGCGAGCTTTGCTGCAACCCCCAGGGTCTGAGTGTGGTCCGTGGGAAGCCCCACGTCCTGACTGTCCTCCAGCTTGCGTGGCAGCTCTTCAGGGGTTTTCAGCCATGATCTGAAGGTGTTGAGCCGGTTATTCCGAATGCCCCTTTGGCCCCAAAAGTCCGTGGGCTTAGGACCAGCGGGTCTTTAAATTGAGTATCCTTGATTATATTCTAATTATGTGAAGATTATATTTTAATTGTGCTAATCTATTAATAGTCTCCATAGCAACCTTTCACCAACTAGAAAAATCAATAAGCCTAGCTGGTGTGGCTCAGTGGTTGAGCGTCGACCCATGCACCAAGAGGTCGCCAGTTCGATTCCTGGTTGGGGCATGTGCCCAGGTTGTGGGCCCAATCCCCAGTGGGGGCATGCAGGAGGCGGCCAATCAGTGTTCTCTCTCATCAATGTTTCTATCTCCCTCTCCCTCTCCCTTCCTCTCTCTCTAAAATCAATAACGGGAAAAAAAATTTAGAAAGAAAGAAAGATAAAAATCAATGAAACTGAGTGCGCATCCTGACCACACTGGGAAACCAAGAACAGCTCATGATGGCTAACATCTGTTGACCACTCACTGTGTACCAGGTGCTATTCCAAATGACATGTATATAATTTCTGTGATCACCTGATGAGAGTGCTACAGTTTCTATTCCCACTTTCCAGGTAAGTAAAACGAGGCACAGAGAAGTGAGGTAACCCACGGGAATTCACAGAGTTAGGAAGTGGCTGAGCTGGGATGGGAAGTTAAGTTGTCTGGTGTCAGAGGCTGTGTACTTAATCCCATGTTCTCCTCCCTGTTGATTTCTGTGGAATCTTAAAACACATTTAAAGTCCACAATAAAAACAGCCTTCTGTAAATAAACACACACGTGTGTGTGTGTGTGTGTGTGTGTGTGCGCGTGCATGCAAAACATATTCATCAAAATGCAGGAATAACTGGATTTGACATCTTAAAGGCAGTGACGGCCATGAAATAGCATATATTTCCGTTGAAAAGCCTAGTCTGAAAATGGCAGAATTAATTTGGAAAACATTTTCATGGAATTTAGAAAGTAGTATGGCATTCAGTTGCTACAAACTAAGTGATTTTGAATCTCGTAAGATACTTTATCTGAATCAGACTTCCTGAGGAAACGATGATGTGTAAGCCAGAACAAACATACTTTTCGTGGAATGTGGTTCTTCTGTAAAATACTTTGTTTCCTGAAGAGATCGAGGCCAGAAATGCTCGCCCAAGGTTCAAGTTGCATTCTTCCCAATCCTCTCCAAAGAGATTGCAAGATATTGGTGTAGATACCAGTATCAGTCAGAAAAATGCAAAATGACCCCGTCCGCCGCGGAAGAGGCACTGTGCCTCCTGTGAGCTGCTATCTCTGCCATGTCTTCCAGCTGCAGAAACTGTGATTTGCATATTTGTCTAGCCAATCAGAGAATGTGAAGTTTCATAGAAAAATTTTTTCCATCTTTAAAGATGCAGATATTTGGTTGTCACTGCCAATCTGGCATATATGTTCAATTTCTGTTACAGGAGTTTTCCCCAAAAGTGAAACCTTTTCTTCAAGTGAAATCATACTTATCTTACTGAGAAATGCAGTAATATAAGACAACTGAGGGGAGTCTTTCTAGTCAAGACAGGGGAGGCGTTGCTGCCCCTTCCTCCCGGGCAGCCCCAGAGCCCGCTGAGATTACCCAAGGCCCCGTGAGTGACATTTGAAAACCACACTAGACACTGGAGCTAAACCAGGTTTTCAGATATGACTGAAGACTTGGACAGTTGTGTGAGCATGGCATTTTTTATGTGCTAGTTCCTTTAAGAAACTTCCAAGTGGGTAAGTTTAAAACATTACCACGAACTCCCAAAGATGAGATAATTTCTTTCTCGCCTGACACAGACGCTCCAACGTGGAGTGGCCAGCTTGGGGCGACGCTGGCGGTGGACGCTGCGCCCAGCCGCACCCTTCCCGACCGGTGTTGGGGGAGAAGCTGCAGGACTGAGGAGCAGCGGCCACCGTGGGCTGGTTGCTGGCTGCACAGCCAACTCGGGTCTGAGTGCCTGGCATGTGTCACCTAAGTGAATCCTTCCTACAACCCTAGAAGGTAGGGTCACTGGCCCATTTTACAGATGAGGAAACTGAGGCTCAGGGTCGTCGAGTCCTTCCCCAAGGTCCCTCGCTGGTGTGTGGTGGAGCCCGTTCCAGAGCGGACAGTCAGTACTGAGCGAGCGCTCTGACCCACCCGGCTCTTTGCCCCAGGATCCTAGAGGCCACCACTGCCCAGCCACCCTGCTCTCTGTCCCATCTCCCCCACTTCTGTTACTGAGACCATTTCCAGGCTTGCAGTCAGTCATGCAGTTAGCACAGCCCAGCGCTTCTCTCTCCCCAGTTCCCTCTGCAAGCACCCCTCCAAGTCCAGGCCCTGCCTCCTGGCTTTCCACTTCGACTGTTCACCAGCCTTCCAGCTGGTCCCTGGCCTCTCGCCTTCCCCCTCCCAGGTTCCTCTGCTAGAATTTCACATCCTACTCAAAAACCTTCCTTTCTACGGAATGAGGTCAGGCCAGCACTCCGGATTCTAGCACAGACCAGCCCCGTTCCCACCTCCCCAGCACTCCCCAGTCCCCAGCACTCCAGTTCACCTCCTGTCTGATTGACGGTTCCTCCGGCGGGTGCTAACCCTCCGTGCTCCAACCAGCACACGTTAATGACCTTGGGCAAGCCAGTTCACTGCTTCAGGCCTTGGGTTTTTCCTGTTTCCTCCAAGATTTGGACTTCTCCCCATGGTTTCTTTACACCCTAAAACTCCAGGTCATATGTTCAGTGAATAGGACCTTGGGGAAGTATGTAGCCCTTCGGAAGAAAGCAGGCTGACATGGAAATCAGTATATACTTGAACCAAACGTGTACATTGCATCTTCAACTATTTATTCAACAAATACTTTCTAAGGCCCACTTTATGCCATGTTTTGTGCTGGTCTTTTTGGATATAAAAATCTCCCCTCTGAAGGGTTCTTGTCTAGTAAGGGCAGACAGATATGTAGAAATATAAATCCCTCAGGTTTTATGAGTGCCATGTGTAAGGGATAGTAACACCAAGAAGAGAGATACAGCCCTGGCCGGTGTGTCCGCGGTTGGAGCCTTGGCCTGAAGACTGAAGGGTCTCGGGTTCGATTGCCAGTCAAGGGCACGTACCTCAGGTGAAGGTTCGATTCCCAGCCCAGTGAGGGCCGTGTAGGAGGCAACCAGTTGATGTGTGTCTCTCACATCTATATCCCTCTCTCTCTCTCTCTCTCTCTCTTACCCCCCTCACACCCCCTCCCTTCCACCCTCTCTAAAAATCAATGGAAAAATGTCCTCAGGTAAGGGTTAACCAAAAAAAAAAAAAAAAAAGGAGAGAGAGAGAGAGAGAAAAGAAAAGCAATAAAATATTGAGTAAACAAATTATGTTTCAGTAAATCGGGTAACACGTTTCAAAGCATGTTATAAAGTCTGTGAAACCTTTTGATTGGGAGATGGGGGTAAATCATGAGGGTGAGTTATTAAGCAGTATTGGAAATTCGTTACGTTTTGGAAATCTGCCTTCTAGCTTGTATCAAACTTTTTGGAGGAGTAACTGTTCTGAAAGAAAGCCCATGAAAATGGAGGGGGGCAGGAACTCGCATTGCTTGGGGAGTGCCCATTGGTGCAGCCACTTGGAAAAGTTTGGCTTTAAAAAAAAAAAGTTAAACAAATTTACCACAACCCAGCAATTCCACTCCTAGGTATATACCCAAGAGAAGTGAAAACCTACGTTCACACACAGACTTATGTATGAATGTTTTTAAGTAGCATGATTTATAATAGCAAAAAAGTGGAGACTGTATGTCCAGCTGGTTAATGGATAAGCGAAAGTGGTGGGTCACACAGTGGAATACTATTCGGCACTGAAAAGGAGCGAGGCACTTATCGATATATGCTGTGACGTGGTTGAACATTGTGTCCTTGTATGAAATGTCCAGAAAAGACAAAGCTGTGGGGATGGAGTCAATGGGTGGTGGCCTGGGGCAGGAAGCGAGATGGGGTGTAACCTGCACAAGGGGTCGCTTTGGGGTGAAGGAAATATTCTGAAACTGGATTGTGGTGAAGGTTACAACACCCTGGGTTTATTAAAAGTCATTGAATCCACCTCTTGAAACAGGTGAATTTGATGGTCTATGAATGATACAAATGAAGGAGCTGAGGGAGGGGGAGCTGCCCCAGTCATTTAGAAAGAGCTCTAAGGCCTCTTGGTGCCCAGATTCAACTGGCAACCAAATCTCTATCAATATTCTAAGAAGAGTCTTCAAATCTTAATCGCAAAGATTAGACTGAGATAAGAATTCTATTCAAGCCTCAAGAAACTCAAGATTAAAAGAAGCAATTACTATGGAAAAAAAGTTAAGGTTAATGAAAGGATAAGATTAGTGACTGGTAACAATAGCAGACTTAATTTTATTCATTTCTATTTCTTTATCTCCCAGTTGTATATTCCATTTCTCTGCAGTGATTACTAGCAGTAATCAATGGTTCTGTTAGCTACTTTTATTGTATTTTAAGTATGAAGGAGTGAAAACCCAGCCGATTCTTTCCTCTGTT